CCATGGTCTGTGCGGTAGAGACATGCAAAGTATGGTGCGTGGCTTGCTGCACCACTCCCGTTGCTACTGCATTATAGCAAGCATCCTCTCCATCTCCTCCTTGGTCATCACTACCAATTGTTGACCAGGTCACTCCTTATCCACTCTCGGCGACGCCATCACCTGCGCCACTGCTCCTACTGGTTGCACCTTATCTAGATCAGCTGGTTGTGGTTGGGCAGGTACCACCACTCCTTGCGATGCTCGAGCCTCTTGTTGTTGGGAAAGTACGCTGAAATTTCCATGAAGTCGGATCTATAGAAGTGAAATAAAAGAAAAATTGGACACACCAAATTGATAACGGAGTTCGGCCAACAATGCCTACGTCTTCGGACTACTGTAGATATTTTATTAGGAAAAAAAATACACTCGTGTTTACAAAACACTCTCGAACTCGCTCACAACTCACGACTCAAAAATACACACAAAAGCTAAATTTTATTATCTCTCTCTCTCTCTCTCTCTCTCTCTCTCTCTCTCTTTTCTTTGTGTTTGATTGTATTTTTGTTGTGTGTCTAATGCTTTCATTTTCTCTCTATTTATAGCTGAGGAATGGATGAATTTCTCCACAAAGGCTGCACGTTCATCTGGCAACAATTGAATTCAGCAACCAAAAAAGTAAATGCATTCACATGTGCAACAACCAAAGTTGAATGCCTTCAGCAGCCAAATGCATTAGTACCCTTATTTTGACTGAACTCAACAATTCCCACTTGAGGACTGATTTCAATCTGTCCTCACACCTCAATAACTGTAGTAGTCTTCTCCGGTCTGTTACTCTAGCAAGCCAACGGAAGTTGAGCACAACTTCAATTTGTCAACGGTCACCACCTTCGTTAGCATATCTGCTGGGTTCTTGCTTCCTACAATCTTCTTCAATGTCAACACCTTCATCCTCGAGAAGAGATCTAATGAAATGATATTGTATGTCAATGTACTTAGTTCTGGAGTGAAACACTGAGTTCTTTGCTAGATGTATTGCACTCTGACTGTCACTGTGCAAGACACTTTCCTTTTGAGTGAAACCCAACTCTGTTAACATTCCTTGAAGCCATATCAATTCTTTACTGGCTTCTGTCACTGCTACATACTCAGCCTCTGTAGTGGGTAGAGCAACAATCTTTTGTATCCGCAACATCCAACTAACAGTTGTAGCCCCGACAGTGAAAACATAACCGGTGGTGCTTCTTCGATGATCAACTTCACCTCCGAAGTCTGCATCTACGTAGCCCTGTAACTTTAGATCTTTTTTTCTAAAATACCGACACTTTTCTGTTGTGCCCCGTAGATATCTCAAAATCCATTTGACTGCTTCCCAGTGAGCTTTTCCTGGTTTTCACATAAACCTGCTCACAACTCCCACTGCATGTCCAATGTCTGGCCTCGTACAAACCATCGCGTACATCAAACTTCCAATAGCTGAAGCATAAGAAATCTTAGCCATAAACTCTTCTTCTTCCTTTGTTTGAGGAGACTGATCCTTGGATAAACGAAAATGGCTGGCCAAAGGTGTACTGACTGGCTTGGCCTTGTCCATGTTAATCCTCTGCAAAACACGGTTGATGTACTCTGCCTGAGATAACTGTAAAACTCCCTTTTGCTTATCTCTCGTGATTTGCATTCCAAGAATCTTCTTCGTTGGGCCTAAGTCCTACATGTCAAATTCTTTTGACAACTGCATCTTCAAATTTCTGATGTCTTTCATATTTGATCCTGCTACTAACATGTCATCGACATAAAGTAGCAATATGATATAGCTGGACTCATATTTTTTGAAGAAACAACAGTGATCAGCATTACACTTCTGGAAACCTTCCTTGTGCATGAAGCTCTCAAACTTCCTATACCATTGTCTTGGAGCTTGTTTCAGGCCGTACAAGCTCTTCTTCAATTTGCACACCATATTCATCTTTCCTTCTGAAAAACCTTCAGGCTGGTGCATATAGATCTCCTCGTCTAGGTCTCCGTGAAGAAATGCAGTCTTCACGTCTAACTGCTCTAGATAGAGAGCTCTTCACTAGCCACAATACTTAACACAGTCCTGATAGTATTGAGCTTTACAACTGGAGCAAAGATTTCAGTATAGTCAACTCCTTCTTTCTGCTGAAATCCTTTGACAACCATTTGGGCTTCGTATCTCCTGGAACCATCATGGTCTTCCTTCACCCGATACACCCATTTGTTGTGAAGTGCTTTCTTTCCTATGGGTAACTTGACTAGTTCTCATGTCTGATTTGAGATCAAGGACTTCATCTCGTCCTTCATGGCAAGCTCCCACTTGCTAGCATCGGGGGTTTGACAAGCCTCACAATAATCTTCAGGTTCTCCTCCATCGGTCAACAACATGTAGTCCATGTATCTCCTGTTAGGTACATGGGGCCGAGAGGACCTTCTCAATACATGAGTTGAAGTAGAAGGTTCTGATTGCTCACTGCTTTCTTCATTTGATTCCTCTAACTGAGGATTCCTTACTATAGGAATGTTTGGGATATCTTCCACCTCTGCATAAACTGGCCACTCGCTTCTCAGTTGCTGGCACTTCTGTTATGCCGGTCCTTCTACATCACTCTTTTATTAAAGATGACATCTCTACTGCGGATCATCTTTTTGTTTTCATCATCCCATAAGCGGTAGCCAAACTCATCTTCACCATAACCAAGGAAAGTACATTTCTTTGACTTTGGATCAACTTTGTTTCTACCTTGATCATTGATGTGCACATATGCTACACACCCGAAAACTCTAAGATGCGAGAGTTTTACTTTTTTTCCGCTCCATAACTCTTTTGGTAACTTGTGATCCAATGGTACCGATGGACTTTGGTTGATTAAGTAAGTTGCTGTGTTGAATGCTTCTGCCCAGAACTGCTTTGGTAGGCCTGACATCATACGCAAGCTTCTGGCTCTTTCAGTCAACGTTCGGTTCGTACACTCAACTACACCATTGTGTTGAGGCGTACCAGGAACGGTTCTCTCCATTCTGATCTCGTGCTCATAGCAAAACTTCTTGAATCTGGTGGTTACGTATTCACCACCATTGTCGGATCTGAGCTTCTTGATCTTCAAGTCTGTCTCATTTTCCACCATAGTTTTCAAAATCTTGAAAGCTTCAAATACTTCAGACTTGTGTTTCAGAAACTAAACCCATACCTTTCTAGAGTGATCACCGATAAAAGTCACAAAGTATTGCTTCCCACCAACGGATGGGACAGTCGTTGGACCCTAAACATCAGAGTGGATGAGCTCAAGCTTCTCCTTCTTTGGGGTTCTTCTACTTGTCTGAAAGCTGACTCTCTTCTGCTTTCCAAGTATACAGTCTTTACACATGTCAATTTCTATTGACTGGAGGCCTGGTAATTTTCCTTTTGAGTGAATGATCTTCATTCCTTTTTCACTCATATGCCTAAGTCTTTGGTGCCATAGATTGGGACTTTCATTTGCTGCAACTGCAATCAGATGACATGCTCCTGTGGTCTTGTAAAGAGTACCACTCTTTTTGCCTCGAGCAATTGTCATCGCACCCTTTAAAATCTTCCAATCATCACCATGGAAGATTGTCGTGTAGCCTTCACTGGCTAGCTGGCCCACGGAGATTAAATTCTTCGTCAGGTCAGGAATATGTCTGACATTTTTCAATTCCCATACAAACCCGTTCAACTGGATTTTTATTGCACTTTTCCTACAACCTCACATGATTGCTCATTACCAAATTTACCAAGATTTTCAGGAACATAATTCTCGAATAGTTCCTTCTGTGAGGTTGCATGAAAGGATGCTCCAGAGTCTAACACCCAAGACTCTTCTCTGTTCTCCAAACAACATATCAGCATATCTTCTCCTGAGGCTGAAGCAATATTCGCCTCTTCTTTTGCCTCCTGACTCTTTGGTGCACTCTTGCACTGTTTGTATAGTGCCCGGTCTTCCCATAATTCCAGCATTCGGTCAACTTCGAGTTTTGGGAACTGCGATGATTTCTGGACTTAGATCTTCTTCCTTTTGATTTGTTGTGTCTGCTTTCTTTGGTAAAACTTCCTCCTCTTGACTCTGTATGCAATACAGAAGAGGTCGATGGTTCACCCAACTCTCTCCGCCGGATCTCTTCACTGAGAACAAAATTTTGGACATTATCAAATCTCAACTTATTGCTTCCCGATGAGCTACTCACAGTCGTGACCGTAGCATTCCAACTTTCTGGTATGGAAGACAAAATTATTAAAGCCCGTACTTCATCATCGAACTCGATCCCAACTGAACTCAACTGAGTTGTAACAGTGTTGAGCTCATTGAGATGATGTGCCACCAGAGCACTTTCGGTCATCTGCAGGTTGAACAATCGCCTCATCAAATGAACTTTATTTGAGGCTGATGGTTTCTCGTACATGTTGGAAAGAGCCTTCATGAGGCCTGGTGTCGTCTTTTCTTTTGCAATGTTAAAAGCAACATTACGGGATAACGTCAGCCGAATGGCTCCAAGGGCTTGTCTGTCAAGGAGACTCTATTCTTCCTCCTTCATGTCCTCTGGCTTCTTTCCTGTGAGTGGTTGATACATATTCTTTTGGTACATATAATCCTCGATCTGCATCTTCCAAAAGCCAAAGTCCACACCATCGAACTTTTCAATTTTTATTTTTTTCTTCCTCTGCAGCCATCACTTCAACTCTGATCTGACTTCTCTGTCGGATCATTTCTGTAATTTTGTGAACTACCGTGTTTCAGAACACGTTGGTAGATAAATTTGTAGCGCCGACAAATTTGACACTATTCCCGTTTTTCACTATTCATGGAATAGTAACCCACACAAAAATTACAGAATTAACAATCTGGCTCTGATACCAGTTGTTGGGAAAAATACGCTGAAATTTTCATGAAGTCGGATCTATAAAAGTGAAAATAAAAAAAAACTGAACACACCAAATTGATAACGGAGTTCGGCCAATAATGTCTACGTCTCTGGACTACTGCAGATATTTTATTAGGAAAAAAAAATACACTCGTGTTTACAAAACACTCTCGAACTCACTCACAACTCACGACTCAAAAATACGCACAAAAGCTAAATTTTATTAGCTCTCTCTCTCTCTCTCTCTCTCTCTCTCTCTCTCTCTTTTTTTTTCTTTGTGTTTGATTGTATTTTTGTTGTATGTCTATTGCTTTCACTTCCTCTCTATTTATAGCTGAGGAATGGATGAATTTCTCCACAAAGGCTGCACGTTCAGCTGCCAACAATTGAATTCAGCAAACAAAAAAGTAAATGCATTCACATGTGCAACAACCAAAGTTGAATGCCTTCAGCAGCCAAATCTTATTTTGACTGAACTCAACACTTGCGCCCTGCTCGAGCCCATCTCAACGACAGGAACTGCTGACGAACTCCCAAAACCTTGTGGAGCAGGAGTTAAGGTTATCGTAGTGTGAAAAGGGCGTAAGAGGTGTATAATTTTGAATATGGTAAGTTGTATAAATGACAAATGTCGTTTTAAACATAAATAAAAATATAATTTTTTTTTAAAAATTATTTGAAATTTAAAACATGTTTTTATTTTAATTTTAAATATAAATTTCTTAATAAACTCGTGTAATACACTGTATTGTATAAGTTTCAAATATGTTGCTGCTGACTTTAATTTTCCACAACCAAAGAATAAAATTCGTTCTCTCAATAGTTCCGTGAAGAGGTTTTTAAAATTTCTTATCGGCATAATATGCGTTGGGAAATTTGGCAGGGCAATTGAATTAGGCCCAATTAGAATGGCAGTAGTTAAATACTTCCTTGGCCCAATATTCTTTAACCCAACTCTCGTTGTTCTTATCACAGTCTTCAATTCTTGAATTAATATTTTTTTTTATAGTGTCCATTTTTTAACTAGTCAATCTAAATTAATAAAAAAAATATAAAGTAATTTGATAATCAAGGGATAAGATCTCAGACAGAATTTAAATAATTGGATTGAAATAAAAAAAAAAAAAAAA